ACTCAGGCCAAGTCTGAGGTAGGTAAAAGGGAAGGGAGGGCAGGAGGGGAGGAGGGAGGCTCCTCTGGTCCCCTGGGGACCCAATGGACGGAGACTCCCCCCATCTTGGGATGCCACCATCAAGACACATCATATTCCCCAGATCCTGAGACAAGGAAGTGAGTGTAAGTTAGTTTATTTGGAAGTTGCTCCCAGGAAACACGGAAAAGGCACAGGGGAAGTAATATAGGAAAGGGAAGAAAGCCAGCAAAAGGTGGGGAGCCAGCCAGTCACTGCAGTGAGCAACTCTGGGAGCCATGCACAGGAGTCATCCCAACCTAGGAGGGAGGAAAGTGGAGTGTTTATTACCAATTTCTAACTGTCGTTTTTTGGGACACTGAGGCACCTCCAGCTTGCCTAGGGCCAAATGTCTCAGGTGTGCTGTAAGCTGCCTTTGGAACGTACAGGTGAGTACTGGCAAAGATGGGCGGGGCCCAAAGGCACCGGTTACACTGATGTCCAGGGTCCAGGAGATAGAAAGAAAAAGAGCAGGAACAGTGGTAAGAGGTCGGCGGGGGGGGGTTCCATGCCAGAACCCAACCACATGCTCCCAATCTACCTGGAGCACGGGCTGGGAATTGTAGGGAAGCACACAGAATATTTGATGAGCCCTATTTGTTTTTGCCACAAGATACAACCTCCAACACAGTTTGGGTGGTGCAGAAGAGCGTGGCACTATATCCTTCTTGGGTAAAGACTTCATATCTCTGATAACACAGCCTGACAACACCAAGCACATCTCACTGATGGCCCTTGCCTCCTCCACGGCCCTGCTCTCTGGGTGTTCCCACAGCTGCTGGTAGAGGGCAGTACCCACCGGAGCGCCACACACGCGTGCCCTCCTACGCAAATCGGGCATTTTCCTAGAGATACAGCACTCACTCCCCCCGAGGCCCCCTTTGCATGCTACTTTTCATGACACTCTTAACTCTTCCAAGCCAGAGGGGCCTCACCAGCACTGGCGTCGGTGGTAGGACAACTTCCAGAGGCAGGAGGGGAAGGGGCTGGTGCACATCCCACAGTGGCGGCTGTGGGTAAGTCCGCTGCCCAAGTCATCCAAAAGTTGGAGCAGGGTCATGACATCCTGTTCTCGGTCTCTGCCCAGTCACTATCTAAGACCTAAGGGGTGCAGAAGACACAGGGTACAGCTAGCTGCTCTACCAAAGATCCTGCTGCAGTAGATAAGAGTAATGTGCCCCCAAGGCCACCTCCTGGTCTCTGGAACCTGTGAGTGTGTTACCTGCAAAAGGGACTCTGCCAGTGTGATTGGGTTAAAATTCTTGAGATGGGGAGACTCTCCTGGATTAGCCAGGACTACCCATGTGATCAGTGTCCTTAGAAGAGGGTAGCAGGAGGGTCAGAGGCAGAGAAGTGAGGATGGAAGCAGAGGGCGGAGGGACACGGGGATGGGGACCCGGGGAATGTGCCTGTGTTCTTCAAGCCAGGGAAGGCCGGGAAGTGGATTCTCCACTGGAACACAGGCTGCCAGGCCCTTGATTCTTAGCCCACTGTAACCCATTTCAGACTCCTAACCCCCACCACCCCCCTCACCGCCAGAACTATGAGAGAATATACTTGTGTGGTTTTGAGCCAGTAAACTTGGGATAATTTTCTATAGTAGTGGGAAACTAATATAGATTTTTATTTATTTATTTATTTTTGTTTATTTTTAAAGACTTTAGTTTATTTGACTGAGAGAGACACAGCGAGAGAGGGAACACAAGCAGGGGGAGTGGGAGAGGAAGAAGCAGACATTCCGCCGAGCAGGGAGCCTGATGTGGGGCTCAATCCCAGGACCCTGGGATCATGACCTGAGCCAAAGGCAGAAGCTTAATGACTGAGCCACCCAGGCACCCCAATATAGATTTTTAAAATGCACTACTGCAACTCCAGTGCAGAGATGATCATCATTACCATTCAAGGTTATCAGAGTCATTTCCTGAGAGCTCACTGGGGGCCCAGCATTGCACTCAGTTTCTACCCGCAGCATCCCCCGGATTCTCACAACAGCCTGAGACGTAAGCTCTTTAAATCTCCCCATTCCACAAGAAGACTGTAGCACCTAATCTTACCTAGAGATGAAATCACCTGACCAAGGTCTGTGGCTGCTGTGTAAGGGGGGCTGAGACTTGAACCCAGGTCATTGGCTAGGTTGCTCTTAACCTTATTCAGTGAGCAGAATGAGGGCAGCTGGTGTTCCCAGAGTGGGGACAGCACAAGTAAAGGGGTGATGGCTAAGGAGTTGTTCCCAAGCAGCCTTGTGTCCCTCCTGTGGTCACTGACTCAGTTCTGGCCTTTGCTGGTACTCAGGAGGCCACCTCCTCCTTCTACCCGGCACCTGCTCCTGCCCCACCCCACCCCCACTTTAGAGGCAGAAGTTCCTAACCTTCCCATCACAGTGGATCAACACACTGATAACCTTAGTACAAGACACTGGGGCAAACTGAGAGGAGTTGGAGACATCTGTCTATATAGAGCCTGGTGGGAAACAAAAAAAATCACATCTTCCTTATCTTCTATAATTATGGTAAGAAAGCTGTGGTACAAAGTACTAGGAAAGATATTAGATACTGAATTGGTATAAAATATCCTAATGAAATCCCCCAGACCTCTTAAAATGAGAAATTTGGAAAATTTGATGAACACAACCTTTTAGCATCAGGTTTTTGTTTGTTTGTTTGGGGTTTTTTTGCATGAAACGACCAGTTCCTATTCAAGGCTTTTTTTTTTTTTTTTTAACTGAGATGTAATTGACATATATCATGATGGTGATGTCAGGTGCACGACCTAATGATGAGATATTTGTATAGATTGCAAAATGGTCACCACAATAAGTCTAGTTAACACCCATCACATACGTATAGTTAGAACATTGTTTTCTTGTGAAGAGAACTTTTAAGATCTACTCTCCTAGCAACTTTCAAATATATGATATAGTGTTATTATCTGTAGTCACCATGCCATATATTATGTCCCCATGACTTATAACCGGAGTTTGTTTTGATCTCCTTCACCCATTTATCCCAACCCCCACCTCAAGGCTGTTTAATGATGATCTTTACAAAAATTTACAAGACTTTGAATGGGGTGTAAAGAGCCTAACACTCATTTATTTGCTGTAACTGTAAATAAAATTCTCATGATAATGAGAATAGAGTGTTTAGAATTCAGTCAAACTGGGTTTCTTGGGGGTGGTTTAAAGATTTTATCTATTTGTTAGAGAGAGAGAGAGCACAAGAGCATGCGAGAGAGCAGGGAGCGGGGGCAGAGGGAGAGGGAGAAGCAGACTCCCTTCTGAGCAGGAAGCCCATTGCGGGACTCGATCCCAGGACCCTAGGATCATGATCCAAGCTAAAGACAGATGCTTACCCAACTGAGCCACCCAGGTGGACCCCAAGCAAACTGTTTTTATCAAGTATTTTAAAATAATGTTGAAGGGGCACCTGGGTGGCTCAGTCGGTTGGGCATTTGCCTTTGGCTTAGGTCATAATCCAGAGTCCTGGGATCGAGCCCTGCTTCGGGCTCCCTGCTCAGCAGGAAGCCTGCTTCTCCCTCTCCCACTCCCCCTACTTGTATCCCCTCTCTCGCTGTGTCTCTCTCTGTCTAATAAATAAATAATATCTTTAAGAAACATAAAATAATGTTGAAGTTAGAATTGGCAGAGAATGTATGCAGCCCAGCATAGAGTAAAAAGAGGTTCGAGCTGGTAGCCAGCTCAGGTGTCACTGAAAGGACCCATCATCTACAAACAGGGAGCCACAGAGATTCCAGGCAGCCCCTGGAGCCACACTCCTTCTGAGCTCCGGAGCTCCTGCACCCCACCACCCCACCCTCTACATGTGGTGCTATGTACTAGGCTCTGCCAGGAGCTCAGAAACTTTGTCTACCACGCACGTTGATGCTGCAGCAGATGTCTGGGAACAGACATCTCCTTGGCTGGATCACTCTCATCCTGCTCTCCACCTGTGGGGGCAACCCCTGGAGAGCCCCCAGAAACGAGACTCCAAGGACCACCAGCCCAGGTGCTCGAGCTTGAGGACTGAGGAGACCAATATCCTTCCCCACAAAATCCTACTTGTGATATACTAGCATTTCCATCCAAACTAGTAGAATAAGAGAACCTGATTCAGCCCGAGGAGGAAGGCCAAAAACACACTTCCTTGCCCCTCCTCCATCCCCTAACTCCCACCTGGTCTGAATTCAAATCCTGATCCTCCACCTACAAGCTATGTAACCCTTTAGCTAGTAACTTAACTTGAGCCTCAGTCCCCAGTTCTGTAAAATGGGGACAATAACACCTTTGCCATAAGATTGTATGAGCGTTACACAAGGTGATGCATGTGGAGGGCCGGCATTGGGCCTGACCCAGGGTAAGTCCCAGGCAGGGCTCGTCTTGTCCGGCATACAGAGACACACAGACACAAAGACCTCTCCCATGGCCATTCGCACACATGCACATACACAGAAGCCCAAAGTCACAAGAAGCTCACACGTGGACACACACAGAGACACACAGATCTGGGGGCCCCACAAAGCCTCCGTATCCAGGCTCTTGCTCTGCTTGGCTTCCATTTGGTTGGAGCTGGATCTGACCTGTTTTTCTGGGAGAGCAGGCAACATCAAAGGGAGCACTTTAAGCTTGACCTCACTTTGATATGCTGATGGAGGGGCCCTGGCCTGGTTCCCCAGAGGCTCTGGAGGCCACGGCTCCAGGCATGAACCCCACAGCACCACCTCTTTAATTTTGGATCTGGGGGAGTAGAAGTAGGAGGGGCAGCCCGGAAGGGATTTGTCATCCACAGTCCTTAAACACACAGACATGCCCACAGAGACAGAAGCAGACAGAACATAAAAGCCCCTGCAATGTGCTCGCAGGCGTAGCTCCCTGGCTGGCCACGAGGAGACTCCCACAATCTTGTAGATCCCCAACCTCTTACTCCAAATTTAGGGCTTTTTACACTATGCCAGCCTACCTGAGCCCTATCTCCACTACCACCACCAGCACCACTGTCGTCCCCACTGTGGCCGCCATCACCAACAGCATTGCCATCCCCACTCCCACCACGACCCTAACTGCCATCCCCACCACCACTAGCACCACCACCACTGTCACCACCATCCCCACCACCAACACTGCCATTCCCACCACCATCACCACCATCACCACCATCCCCATGACCATCCCCACTACCACCATCGACACTACCCCATCACCACCATCACCACTGCCACCATTGCCATCCCCACCCCCACTACCATCCTAACTGCCATCCCCACTACTACTAGCACCACCACCACCATCAACAACACTACCCCATAACCACCACCATCACCACCATCCTCACCCACCACCATCACCAAGACCATCACCACCATCCCCACCACCAACACTGCCATCCCCACCATCACCATCCCCACTACCACCATCAACATTACCCTATCACCACCATCACCACTGCCACCACTGCCATCTCTACTCTGCCACCATAACTGCCATCTCCACCACCATCACCACAATCACCACCATCCCCATGACCATCCCCATCACCACCATCACCACTACTATCACTGCCATCCCCACCACCATCACCAGCACCACCACCAGGAACAGCACCAACAGCATGTTCACCTCCACCACTGCCATCAGAACCACTCTCACTTTCACCATACCCACCACCATTACTGCCCCCATCACAGCCGCCACCATCACTGCTGTGACTACCTTGTCAAACCATCACTGTCTGAACTGACAGAGGAGCCCTCATGAGCCCTCATACAACATGGAGGAAAGACCCATTGGGAAGTGCAGAAGGAAGAGGGTTCCCCTGCTTTCTAGGAACCCAGGGGAAAAGGTCAAGAAGCTCAGGCCCTGCCACAGCCCTGGCTTCTCCCACACCCCACCCCTGCTGGAGACAGTGTCTTCTCAGCCTGCCTCTGAGCCTCCTCCCACACCCACAGAGAGCTGGTCTCCAACAGGTGTGATCCCTGTGGTTTCCCAGTGCCGGGAGGCAGCCGTGGAGAGAGAAACCCAGGCGAGGAAGGGAAGGGAGGGGCGAACCCGGGCAGGACCCACAGGATTGGCTGATGTGTGCCTTCCCAGCCAGCCCCTGACCAGAAGGTTCTCAAAGAGACAGTGACCTCAGCCACGGCCCTGAGCTCTGCCTGTCCCAGCCATGCGGTGGGCACCCGCCAGGCGGAGCGGGCCCCAGGGGCCGTCCTGAAGCAGGGGCGAGGTGGGAGGAGGCCACCAGGCCCCACAGGGGGCACAATGGACAAATTCCGGATGATCTTCCAGTTTCTGCAGTCCAACCAGGAGTCCTTCATGAATGGCATCTGCGGCATCATGGCCCTGGCCAGCGCCCAGATGTACTCCGCCTTCGATTTCAGCTGCCCCTGCCTGCCGGGCTACAATGCGGCCTACAGCGCGGGCATCCTGCTGGCGCCCCCCCTTGTGCTCTTCCTGCTCGGCCTGGTGGTGAACAACAACGTGTCCATGCTGGCCGAGGAGTGGAAGCGGCCCCCGGGCCGCCGGACCAAGGACCCCGCCGTGCTGCGGTACATGCTCTGCTCCATGGTCCAGCGCGCCCTCATCGCGCCCATCGTCTGGGTGGCCGTCACGCTGCTGGATGGCAAATGCTTCCTCTGCGCCTTCTGCACTGCTGTGCCTGTGACGGTGCTGGGCAACGGCAGCCTGGCCCCTGGTCTCTCTGCGCCCGAGCTCGCCCGCCTGCTGGCCCGGGTGCCCTGCCCTGACGTCTATGATGGCGACTGGTTGCTGGCCCGCGATGTGGCCGTGCGTTACCTGCGCTGCATCTCCCAGGTGAGGAGGTGGCATGGCCTTGGCCTGGGTCTTCCCTCATGGCCCGGGTTCCCTCTGGCAAAGGTCTAACCCCCCACCTCTTGAAATGAGGCTTCCTCAGGGCACAGTCATGTTTACCCCATAGATGGGAGCTCCCCACACTGGGCTGGGGCTTCCCCTCAGTCGGAGGTCTTTGGGGCAGGGGCACTGCCCAGCAGAGGCCAGGGCTTCTGAAGGCAGAGCTGTGTGTCTTCTCTGGATCCAGGCCACCTGGAAAAAGTGCTGTGGCTAGCTTAGTCCAGAGGCCTGTGTCCTGTCTTGAGGTCCCTAGAGTGGACCTAACAGCTCGGCCAGCCCCACATCCTCCATCCAGAGCTCCAGCTGGGAAGCCTGGTATATTTGCATCGTTTTCTCCTTCCAGGCCAGGGCAGTGGTGAGGCAGGTGGGTGGCTGGGCCATTTGGGTACATTTCCCTAGCAAATGCCCCCAGCAGGTGCTTCCCTACTCTCAGGGAGTGGGATCCGAGGGTCCCAGTACCCCTGGAAGGGAGGGCTTGGGTGAGGGGGATGCTCTGTTGGGATATGCCCTAAAGGCAGGGTTGGAGGGCCCACTGACAGGGAAATCCAGGTGAGGGCTCCACTGTCTTGTCTTCTGCCCCTCTGGACCCGCCCCCCTTCTAAGCCCCCAGGCCTCCCCTGTAGTCCCGGCAGCACAGGGAGGAAGCAGCCCCATGTCAGAGGGGCAGGGAGGGTGCAGGGGGTCTGGCCTCCCGGGCCAGAGCTAGAGGAGCACTCTGCTCTGGCAAGTCCAGACAACCGGCTCCCTGGCTCTGGCCCTCCTGTGGGGCCCACATCCTCATCAGAGGCCCCACGTGAATGTGGCTCTGAGCGTCCCAGCTTTGTTTTCCTCCCAAACTACTTCCTCCCTGTGGGCACTTGTGCCATTTTCCCAGGCCTCAGGGCCTCGGACAGCTGTCCCTCTGCCTGACCTTTAAACCACCGCGTCATGAACTGAAAGGGCCCCTGGAGGGCAGGCTGCCTGGCCTAGAGACATGTTTCGTCTGGCCTTCCATATAAATTCAAAATTCAACTCGGCAACTTTGGAAAACCAGACGTTTTCACACAAAAATCAGACTTCCTGCTTTCCCTGAAACATGAGGAGACCCAGCCCCACGAGGGCCACGTTGCCTGTCTGACGGGCACAGTAGATGCCTACAGCCCCAGACCCAACACGTGCTCTATAGCCTGGCAGCCCACGTGTGCTCAGCCACAAGTCCCCGGCCCCGTTTACAGGCATTTACCCACCTCTCTCATCCTGACCCGGCCAACGCTTCTCTGTGCAGCTGGGGGCTGACCCGGAAGCCCAGCTTAGGAGAGCCTCCTGCCCCATGCCTGTCGCTGAATTATTGGCAGAACAGGTCTGGCACCCAAATGTCTAGCGCTCTTCAGCACAGTCTGAGCAAGTGTCTGGTTTGTCTCTGTGACCCTTGAGGCCTAGCTCAGAGCCCACACAGAGGAGGCTCATTTAAGGTCAGCTCCCAAAAGATAGACAACACCAGGAGCCAGAGGAGAGGAGCAAAGCTCAGATGAGGGTCCCTATGCCTCAGGAGGTCAAGGAAGAGGCATGGTTAGTGAGGGCCTGTTGACATAATCGTAGTGGCTCATCGTTACTGAGCACCGTGTACCAGGCACTGTGCTAGTCGTGATTACATTTAGTCCTCACAACAACCCGACGAGATCCGTACTACCAACAGCCCCATTTTATAGGTGGGGAAACCGAGGCACAGAGAAGTCAGGTACCTTGCTCCTGGTCAACTAGTAAGGACTGGAGACAGGGTCCAAAGCCAGGCGGCCTCAGTCCGAGGTCTGCCCAGTTATCTCCTGCGTATTGAGTGCCAGGCCCACACAGGGGGCATTTTCCACACCCGATCTCATTTCTACGAGGTGGTGCATCTATTCTGCCCATTGGACAGAAAAGGAAACAGAAGCCAAGAGGGGAAGTCATTTGCCTAGTCTGCACTCTCTCCCCTAAGGGCCCTGAGGGAGGGTGCTTTGGGGGGGTGTAGACAGGCCTGGGAGGCCAGAGGGCAGGGCCGGCCACTCTCTCCCGTCTCCCCTGCAGGCCCTGGGCTGGTCCTTTGTGCTGCTGACCACACTGCTGGCATTCGTCGTGCGCTCTGTGCGGCCCTGCTTCACCCAGGCCGCCTTCCTCCAAAGCAAGTACTGGGCCCACTATATCAACATCGAGCGCAAGCTCTTCGATGAGACGTGCACGGAGCACGCCAAGGCCTTCGCCAAGGTCTGCATCCAGCAGTTCTTCGAGGCCATGAACCACGACCTGGAGCTGGGTCATGCCCACGGGGCAGCGGCCACGGCCCCTGCTGGCTCGGCTGCCCCCGCAACCACGGACGGGGCTGAGGAGGAGAGGGAGAAGCTGCGAGGCATCACGGACCAAGGCACCATGAACAGGCTGCTGGCGAGCTGGCACAAATGCAAGCCGCCCTTGCGGCTGGGCCAGGAGGAGCCCCTGCTGGGCAACGGCTGGGCGGGGGGCGGGCCCCGGGCTCCACGCAAGGAGGTGGCCACCTACTTCAGCAGAGTGTGAGCTGGGATGGAAAAGTGAAGCCTGCCAGTGCCACAGCACAAACTCCTGGAACAGACCCACATGCCCAGGCGTTCACCTGCCCATTAAGGCAGGAAATTTGGGAGCTAGAAGGGGACATCAGTGCCCCAGCTGCGACACAGCAGTATTAGTCAGAAGGGCTCAGAACTGGCTGGGGGGGTCTGGGTGGACAAGCTCCCACCTGCCCAGCCCCCTCCCCAGCCAGTTCATCTCTACTTCACTGTCTCCTCTCAGGTCCCGTGGCCACCCTTGCTGTGAATTTTTATGATCTCTGCTCCCTTATGCTCAAGGCTCAGGGAGTGGGAGGGCGTCTTGCTGTCTCACAAAGCAGGAACCCTCTGATTTGGGTCCATCTCCTGAATGAGGCTATAGGTAGGCCGTGAGGACATGGCCCCCAGCCTCACTTGACGTAACACACCTGCGGTGGCAGGAGAGGAGATAACATGCCAGAAGTTAGGTCTACTCAGCAGAAGCCAGAGTGTGTGGTCACATGGAGGCCACCCAACACCTGTCAAGTGGACTGTTCATTTATTCAGTCCCGAGCACGAGAGTCTTCCTGTCTTAGCCTTAGACTAAGTCTAAGTCTAAGACTGAGTCTCGCCATGTCCTCAGGTAGAAGGGGCAGGAGGGCTCCCTGGAGCCTCTTTTCCAGGCACTGATCCCATTCATGAAGCTCTGCCCTCATGACTTAAGCACTTCCCAAAGGCCCCACCCCCTCATGCCATCCCCTTGGGGAGTTAAGATTCAGCACATGAATCTGGGGGGACACATTCAGACCACACCATCCTCCCTTGGAAGGCTCCTTGGAGACCACCCGAATGCCTCCTTCACATCCAAGTCTCAGGGAAATCAGACCTCCCCAGAGCTTGGGCACTTAGAAAAGAAAAGAAACTGGTATCTTTCCATTTTCTCAAAACCCCTACCCTTGGGGAGGGGGCTCCAGAGTGTTAAGAGGCTTTGGCCTGAGGTAGGGATGAGGGTGGAGGGGTGGGGTTGGGGAGCTGCCTAGAGTAGAAAGAGCTCAGACTCCAGAGCAAGAGAGAATTGGGTCAAAGGCTGGCTCTACCACTACCACTTACAGTGTCCCTCAGGCCAATTGCTTCCTTTTCTGTGCCTCAGTTTCCTTATCTATATAACGGGGATGAGGGCACCTACCTGACGGTGTTGTAATCAGGAAACAGGCGAAGCCTGTGAAGCTCGTGGGACAAAACAGGCCCTAGGTACAGGGTGGTCATTGTAATGTAGATTCCTGCAACATTGTTTTCATGATTTCCCTTCTTCCCATCTATTCTTCCCTCCATCCCCACTTCCGAGACCTGGTCTGCATTCCTTTCATTATTTGGGAGAAGGATGAACCTTGTAGGCCCAGGAGGCTGATGGAGAGGCTGGAGGGCTCCTCTGGGGGTGGGACTTCATCTAGGCCCTGAATGAGGACAGGGTTCAAAGGCATAGAGACCAGGTCTATGTTGGTGGGTGGGGAGGGGCTTCCAGTGGGAAAAGCCAGTCCAGGATATCATGAGGTACGAATGTCAAAGAAAGAACAAAGGTTTGGGTCAAGCAGATTGGGGTTTAAGAACTAGAGCAGTAAGACCTCACCAAATCCCTCTAAACCTCAGTGTGTCTATCTGTAAGACAGAACTTTAAAAGGACCCACTTTTCACAAGTATGGTGAGAATAAAAAGGGTAACTTTGGAGAGAGAATCTGGAGTGGTGTTTGGCACATGGGAGAACCTGGATAATAAACACTGGTCTTTCCCTTCATCCCTGCCCGTGACAAGCACAGCTCAGGGAGGCCAGCATGGCACTGAACAGTTCCGCCATCCTAGAACCGCAAGCTCTTGCAGAGCTGACGGGAGACTGGGGGTCTCCCTTAATCATAGGTGTCATCTAGTCTGTCCCAGGACAGGGTTCTCCCCTTTAGCATTCTTGATCCATAACTTTGCAGCCTCAGCTTGCACACGCCCATGGATGGGAAGCTCATGACCACTTTCTGGGACAGGCTGGGCAGCTCTGATGGTAACAAACCTGCCTTGTTGTAATTTCCACCCACCACCCAGAGCTCTGCCCACATGGCCTCAGAGAATCACTTGCCAGCCCTCCTGAGATTTGAAGCAATACCTGGGAGTCAGCTGAAGTATGGATAGAAGAGTCAGCAGTCAGGAGGAGGACGGGCAGGGGCAGGAGGGCTCTGAGGGAGAAGAGCCAGAATAAGGTACAGAGGCCCTGGCCCGTGCATCCTACTAGGGCTCCCCGTCAGTCTGATGGCATGGCCCACCCCTCCAACCCTGCTGGGGTCCAGCGGGAATCCAGCATGGGGAGTGCTCCTGAAACTGGCAGGGAGGGCAGGCCCAGGCAGGATGTCCCAGCAGGCCCCCCTGCCTGGCCCCAGAACTGGTCCCACTGGTGTGCAGGCCGCCGGGGCAGCTGGCTCAGGGGGGGAAGGCAAGGCCAGGCACAGGCTGGGCCACTGCCGCTGGCCGCTGAACAGGCAGCCCAACTTCCTCTCCTCTTGCACCGCCCTCCCTGCCCGCCCTCCCCTGCCTGGCGCCGGAGGGAGGCTGTTTTTCCACTCACGGCTTGCTGCACGAGTTCCATCCTGTTTCTTTCCTCTGCTTCCCTGGAGTTTAAAACTTCTTTGAAAACACCATCGAAAACACCACCGGCCCCAGGCCCTGCTGGTCTCAAGCTTCCTGCTCCGGTGCAGAAGAAAGCACGAGGGAGCCCGTGGACGGCACTTGGGGGGCCCGCCCTGCAGGCCCACGCCCCGCTGGGGCTGGAGCCACTGGTTGGCACCGCAGCTGGCCCCAGGTAAGGAAGGGCCCCTCCCTGGGGCGTGCCGGGCAACAGGGGGAGCATGGCAGGACTGCTCAAGGCTGCCCAGAGGGATTGTCCTGGGGAGAAGGGCCTCTCACTGAGGCTCCTCTGGGCAGCCCTCTTCCAGGCTGTCTTGTCTTCTGCCCTGACTGCTGTTGTAGCAGGTCCCACCCAGGCCCAGATGTTTCAGTAGTCTCAGATGATGGCCTCATCCCTCCACTGCTCACCATCCTCTGTGTTCTGATATCTTGTACCCCACTTTGGGCAGATTATGAACCCAGGGCCCCATGAAAGCTCATGAGAAACCCTGAAGTTAAGAGGCGAAAAGGAAGAGAGGAGCCTGCCTTTAACCCGTTCAGTCCTGGCAACATTACAAACTCTTTCCCAGGGTGTAGGATGGAGTCCCTGCCCTGGGCATGGGAGGAAGAGTTAGATCCCTCCTCCTCCTGGCTCCCCACATGGTCACTGAGCTCTGCCCATCCCATCTGGCAACACTGGCAGAGACTGGCATGGGGGGGTACTGCTGGCGTAAAGAGGCACAGAAGGAAATGTGGCAGGTCTCCCCACCTCTGTTTGCTGCCCGCCCTATCCCTCCATTCCCTGGCTGCTTCTGACTGTGGAGTTTTGTTTTTTATCCCCCAGATGGGGAGAACATGGGCCACACCCTAGGCTGTGTCTCTGCTTGTGTGGGTGGGGCCTAGAAAGGGAGCCCACTTCCTGGCACTACTGGAGCCCAGATCATGGCCAAACAAACTGGGGATGGGCTGGTGGGGATGGTTGAGCCTTGGCCTCCATTCTCGGTCACTGGCAGTCTGGGCAGCCCCCCTGGGAGGCTGCTACATAGGGCAGGGGTAACGGGTGGGGAAGGGAATGTTTGCCAGGACTCTCATGGTTGAGCACAGAGCAAGGGCTGGAGACCAAGAAAACAGAGGACTCACTTGGCTCCTCCCACCCTTGTCTGCTTCCCAAACCTCCTTATGTCAGGCTCAGAAGTCCTGCCCAGACACCTCCGTGCTGTCATAGCCTCAAGTGAGGCGTGTTCTCCTCTTTAGGCCTCAGATCTTGGCAGGAAAGAGAATCGTCCCCACTGCCTCACCTCTGGGAGTCACCCTAAAGTCTTGACAGGGTGAAATGGAGGGTCTCACACAGAGGACAATGGTCAGGCATCATTAATTCCTTCTCTTTTCCCGCCAGCATCCCTACGGGGAGACCAAGGGCCAGGATTTATCCTCTTTTCACAGATGAGGACACAGACCCAGAGAAAAGTCATGGAGTGTGTTGACAGCCAGAATCTCCTAAAACCAGTCTGGACTCTGAGGTCTCTAAAATGGAAAGTTCTCATGAACTCTGGGACACTGTGCCTCACTGAGCACTGACCAGACTCTTTCCTCCACCCCACCCCATGCCACTGAGGCAAACCCATGCCCTTATCTCCCAGGACACCCACTGCAGCTGGGATGCCCATGGGCTAGAGGCCTGGAGGACAACAGCCCCCAATAGTCCTAGGTCCCTCAGCGCCCTAGCACCACCAGGACCCCACATTCCCTGGCGCCACAGGGCCATCCTTAATCTCGACAGCAAGGGAAGCCTGTGGGAGTAACAAGAACCCAAGTGCCTGAGGCAGACGGACTTGAGCCTGAATCTCAGCTCTGCCACTTGTGTGTCCCAGGCAAGCCCCTCACCTCTATGCACGTGGGACAGGGCAGCTCCGTGGGGGATCGTGATGATGGGTAATGAGGGATAGAAAGCACCTGACACCCAGTGGGAGCTCAGTGAGCAGCTGTCACCATGTCCCCAAGGTCCAGGGTTCCCCAAGTCTCCTCCTTTCTCACTAGCTTGGCCATACAGGATCCCCTCGATTCCTTTCAGTTTTCCAAGGCAAACATTTATCAGCTTCCTTTATCCCATAGGAAGCACCAGGCTGGACACTGGAGGGAATAAAATGGCAAGACCATGCCCTGCCTTCAGATACCCACCAGCCTCCACTCCCTCCTAGTCCCATCAGGAACCATCGATCCTGGTCTCCCCCACCCCCAGCCTTGCCGACGGTCCCCGCACTGACGCATCACCATGGCAGCCCTGATTGCAGAGAACTTCCGCTTCCTATCACTCTTCTTCAAGAGCAAGGACGTAATGATTTTTAATGGGCTGGTGGCACTGGGCACAGTGGGCAGTCAGGAGCTGTTCTCCATGGTGGCTTTCCACTGCCCTTGCTCACCTGCCCGGAACTACCTGTATGGGCTGACAGCCATCGGTGTGCCGGCCCTGGCGCTCTTCCTCATCGGGGTCATCCTCAACAACCACACCTGGAACCTAGTCGCCGAGTGTCAGTACCGGAGGACCAAGAACTGCTCGGCCGCCCCCAACTTCCTCCTCCTCAGCTCCATCCTGGGCCGTGCAGCTGTGGCCCCTGTCACCTGGTCTGTCATCTCCCTGCTTCGAGGTGAGGCCTACGTGTGTGCTCTCAGCGAGTTTGTGGACCCATCCTCCCTCACAGCCGGGGAGAAGGGCTTCCCACCAGCCCATGCCGCCGAAATCCTGGCCAGGTTCCCTTGCGGGGAGGAACCTGCCAACATGTCGGGCTTCCGGGAGGAGGTCACCCGCAGGCTCAAGTATGAGTCCCAGGTAAGGCTGTGCAAGGGGAAGCTCCTCTTCTTTCTTCCCTAGGTGACAGCGGGTGGGAAGGTACCAGGCGGGGGGTCCAGTGTTGAAGCCAGAGCTGGTCCTCGGGGGCTAGGGTCTCCAGGAAAGCACTAGATCAGCATCAGTATCTGAGTTGGGTAGCCTGTGGCTTAGGACTTGGTGAGGCAAGTTTTAAACATTAAAGGAACGTTCTTCTGGCTCAGACTTAGGCTTGATCCCGGTCATCGCTACTTGTCCGATTGAGCACGAGCCCCTGTAAGCTTACGAAACATCTGCTGTCAGCTAGGAGTTGACAAGTTCCTATCCCCAGAAGGACCCCAGCCCAGCACCAAGGGAGCCCAGGTGTTGCCGACCTCAGGGAGTCCCCCGAGCCAGGAAGCGACGGCTGCTGCCCTGATCCTAGCCTCAGCCGTGGCTCACTTCTGAGGGAGCACGGGTCCGTCCGGGCAGAGGCCTGGGCAGAACACACAGCTGGAAGTGCTCCCTCAGAGCAGCAGGGCATGTAGGGGACAGGAAGGAGCCCAGGATTTTCTAAAAAGCAAAAACCAAAACCAGAGCACGTGAGTTCAAAGGAGTGAGGACGGAGTGGAATCCCAGCCGGAAGGGCCGGCTTCCCTCAGAGAGGGAGAAGCTGCTCTCAGAGGGTGTGGCCCACAGGGTCAGCCCAGCCCAAGCCCTCTGACCTGCTTGTCCGGCTTCTTCCTGGGGCGGGTGAGGGTCCAGGCAGCCCCTTGCCCCTCCTCAAACCTGCCCCTTCCCCGGCCAGCTCTTCGGGTGGCTGCTCATCGGCGTGGTGGCCATCCTGGTGTTCCTGACCAAGTGCCTCAAGCGCTACTGCTCGCCGCTCAGCTACCGCCAGGAGGCCTACTGGGCGCAGTACCGCACCAGCGAGGACCAGCTCTTCCAGCGCACGGCGGAGGTGCACTCCCGGGTGCTGGCCGCCAACAACGTGCGCCGCTTCTTCGGCTTCGTGGCGCTCAGCAAGGAGGACGAGGAGCTGGTGGCCAGGTTCCCGGTAGAAGGCACACAGCCTCGGCCGCAGTGGAACGCCATCACCGGCGTCTATCTGTACCACGAGAACCTGGGCCTCCCGCTCTACAGCCGCCTGCACAAGTGGGCTCAGGGTCTGACGGGCAACGGGGCAGCGCCCGAGACCGTGGAGATGGCCCCGCTCGCCTCCTAGGGGTCTGGCCCCCACCCTCTCTGCAGGGGATGGTACTTGGTCTCAAACTGAACTCCATGCCTGCTCCCACCAGCATCAGAAGGGTTTTTTTTTTTCACTTGGGGGGGAAATGGGCCAAGAGCCAGGAGGACAAAGTAGCTTGGGGTGTGGAGAGTGAGCAGACAGTGGGGCCCACTCCAACAGGAAGGCCCCAGCTCTTAAGAAATCCCCTCTCCCGCCGACAGCAACCACTCAGTCAACAGCTTGAGAGAAAAGACCCTTCTGTAGAACTGGTCCTTCCGTAACTATGATGTGGACGACCTTTTACTGACGGGACTCCAAGCCTCGGCAGCCATGGCCAGCGGAGCCAGGTGACAGGGAAGCTCACCAGCAGATGCCTCGTACGGGACACCGTGTGGTTAACGTACACGTGACTGACGTGGTTACCTGGCTCGGGGGCGCTCAGCCCGGAGATGCCCTCCAACATCCACCTCTGGCTTTATTTTATATACTTAAATTTTTGATAAAAGTTTTTCTTAGTATAAAGCACTAGCTTGGTGTCTGCATGATTGGATGGGCCATGCCACAGTAGGCCGGTAGTCATGGCGACAGGCCCAAATCCCATCCCCTTTGTGGGAGGGGTGGGGGACAGGGAGACCCTGGGTGAGATTAAAATGGATGGGAGGGAGGACAGGGGTAGAGGGAAAAAGCCAAGTGTTGGGAAGGCCCTACGGCTGATGATGTCTTGACAATTAGATTCAGTTATCTGATTTGATTTGAGGAGGTGAAACCTGGCCTTTCTTGGAGGGAAAATTGGCTTCAATTTCATGAGTCAGAAGATTGCACACTCGTATGGCAGACTGGCTCCTACAGCCTGTGCTAACGCCCAAAAACCAGGACAGCCTCAGCTGGGCCTCTCCCCCGACCCACACACACCCACCCCTGTCTGGTCACCTCCACCACCTCTAAAACCTTTGATGCTCTCCCTGTCCTGCTTCCCAGCATTCGACCCAGTCACTTCCCATGGAAAAGCTCTCCCACTCTCAGGGCACATAAAGCTCTCTGCCAAAGAAAACATTTAACCCCCTTAAGACCAAGCTGAATAGGAACTGGCTTCAACAACTACAGGGTCTGTGCTGGTGTCCAAGAATTCTGAAACATACAGGATTATTACGATCAAAGGAGACAGAGTCCATCTTTCTAGGAAGTTTACAAGGGTCACAGGGAGGTATGGGTGTAGTGGACCCAACCTGTCCCCATTCCCTCCAATCTCAAGGAAAACCATCAAGCCAATCAATGCCCTCCACCCAGCAACCTCTTCCCAGAGGAGCCACAAGGAGAAACAGTGCAGTTCTTCCCAGCTCACAGAGCATGGCAGTCTACACCCTAACCAAGCCTCCTACCCACAGGCCCTGCGGCAGCACACAAACATACATTCTCATTCCATCCACAGAACAACTCTTCAGAGTAAGACTTTTTGTCCCCATTTCACAAATGAGACACCCACCTTGGAGACCTTAGATAATCGGGGCCTGGTGAGCCTGGGAGGCAACACCACCAGGTAATTTAAGCTAATACCTATGGCTTTCCTCTCAAAAGGCCCGGCTCCCCAATGGTCCTTCTCCCTAAAGGGGTCTGCCTTTGTCCTCCTGTCCCAGCCTCATGTACTCCACAAAAGGGCACAAGAACTAGCTGAGCTCAGGTTGAGGGAATGCCCAGAGACTCTGAGACCTAGGGGAGAAGGCCCGCTCCCTGGGCTCTGCTGACTCCCTCTGGTTGGACCAAGAGGCTGCCAGGGCCAAAGAGGGATCCTGACCACAAGATCGTCAGGAGTCAGCCCCTCCATTCCTCCTCCCCAGGAAACCCCCAAGAGGGAGAGAGTCTTCGCTCTTTAAGGAGTCCAAGAGCCTGCTGTTTATAGCAACCTCAGAAAAAGGGAAAATGGGCACCCGGGTAGCTCAGTCAGTTAAGCGTCTGACTCTTGATTTCAGCTCATGATCTCGGGGCTGTGAGATCGAGCCCCATGTTGGGCTCCACGCTCAGTGGTGAGTCTGCTTGAGATTCTCTCTCTCCCTCTGCCCCTTCCCCCTCGTATGTGCTTTCTCTCTCTTGTTCTAAAAAAAGGGGGGGGTGAAATAAAGCAGTACTAAAATAAAACATGCAAAAAGGAATTATAGGAAAGCTGAAATTGTTTTTCATCCTGACAGGATTACCATAAAGTTGCTGCAGAAAAAGCAACACTTAAATAAGAGTCCTCAGGCAACACAGTTTTCCAGCGGCCCAGGGGCCCGAGACTCAGCCGGGCTGGCTCACTGCTGACGTGGTCATCCGAGGCCAGCTTGGCCACTAGTCCTCCAACACAGAGCTCTTAGCTTCCACATATTCCAGGGCCTTCGCCTTTACTGCCTGCACATCCTTCTCAGTGCCATGTTGTTTCTCATAGTCCAGGTAGCGCTTGAAGAAGAATTTCATTCGCTTGGGGGCCAGGCTGAGATGAATGACCCGTTCAAAGATGTCCCTGTGGAGAAGAGTAAGGCAGCATTTGCCTCCTGCCCCCGGCCACTTGACCGCTGACTAGTTTTAGTCTACTTGCCCTGCGGCTCTGCAGCCAGGCCCCCTGTACCCCAGCACCCTCACTCCTACCTTTACATTTACTACCATCTTAACTCCTAAGGTGTCCATGGGGAGAGAGACTACCACCCTCACTTTCCAGATCAGACAGACACTCACGGGTGTTAAAAGGACTTAGTGGCCTGAAGTCACACAGTGAGTCAGGACAAAGCTGCTGGGATGGAGATATACACAAGGTAGGGATCTGTGAGAAGAGCTCTGCTTCAAACTCACTGATGGGCTTGGGCGAGGCACTAGTTCTTTCTGGACCTCAGTCCACCTGTCTCTAACCCTCTCTGCCCCTTTGGGGATGCAGGTGACAACAGCAAGCCTGCGACCATTCTCTACCACAAGAGCCAGGCTCAATGAATTATGTGGGAAATCCAAGTCTTCTGACCCCCACACCAGGGCCAGCCCACCCAAGACTCCAGACACAGACCAGAGGCTGGCTCCTGAGGCAGCAAAACAAGTTGGAAAATGAGTACCACGGGACCTTGTATGTCACGTCAAAGCTAGTCTTCCAGTCAGTGAGAGAACTGGGAATACTGGAAGATTCCAGGGGGTAAAACTCATCCACTTGGCCCACATCCCCAACCTTTCACAGTTAATTCAGCCCTGGCCTCTCTTTGCCTCTCACCGGACTTCCTTCTGGCTGCCATGCTTAATGGTCATGTCGATGTAAACCGACCAGACGTCAGTGCGCTTCGGGTAGGTGCTCAGTGTGTTCTCAAAAATGGCTTTGGCCCGTTCCGCATCCCCCAGCTGGAACTCCAGCTGGGCAAACTTGGCAATCACATCCACATCTGCAGGGAGAGACAGCTCAGACACACAAAGCAGAGAGACCCCTCCCCACAGCATAACGTGCTGCACGGACAGTCTGACTCCTGACTCCCTATGCATAGGTTCCAAGACCTAGGTGATGACAAGTGAACACTGGGAAAGTTTGGGGCCAAATACACAAATGGGCACTGATGTAGGACTCCCACTGCAGACACCTCACTCTCTGGCTCAGAAAGGAGATGGGGCAGGGGCAACAAAATCAGCACTGATTATTTTTTGTTCCTCCATCTCTAAAAAGTTTAGCATTTGAAATGCAACACATGTGATGTTCATGAGCATATAATCAACAGTGAGATCCATGCCCTCCACCAGGCTTTCCTAATACCACACCACCCTCAGATGAGAAAACCTCCAATCCCTACGCCCAGATATCACAGAGCATAATGTGACCAGGAATGGGGCTGGAGGCTAGGGATGAGCACTCACGCTCTTTAATGGGCAGACATTCGAGAGCTCGCTGCATCACACGGTGACTAGCCCCAGCCTGGCCCCTCCGCAGAAGAAAGGAGCCATATTTGATCCAGACAGCTTTCTCCTGCCTGAACCGCTTCAGCATCCGGTTGTAGAGCTCACCAGCTTCCTGTGATTTGAAGTGTGATAAGACAGAGGGGGCAACAACAGAGACAGGAAGAATAACAAATGACAGACAGCTATGCTCATAAGAGGCTAGACATGGCCTCAGACTCTGGTCACTATGTAGGCGCAACTCTAGATCCTGAGGAAAGCGGGCAGGTTCCCAGAGATGGGGAGAGCACAGAAAGGGCCTAACAGGGTAGGGAGTCCCCCTACTAATCCTGTGCTGTATGGAGGTCCTAAGAGTAGAAGAACATGAGAATGCCAAGGGAGAAGAGGAGAGACAGAAAAGGGATGTGGCTGAGCTGCTGCCTTGTGGCTGTAGGTCCATGAGATACACGACAGGGGTCCACTGTCCCCTTTACTTCCCTCATCTTTGCCCTGCCTTCCTAAAGCAGACACGGGAGGAAAGGACTCCTCGCACTTGGAAGATGAACAAGTTGGGGCCCAGAGGTCACAGAGCAAGCCTGTGTGGAAGACTCCCTGGACTTGCCAGGAATTAGTTTCCGAGTCGCCGAGGACCGCCTGACAGTGGGCCGCCTGACAGTGGGCCGCCTGGCCCAGACTCCTACCTGGAATTTCTCTGACTTGGCGTAGATGTCAGCCAGATGGATAAAGACCTTGAGAGGCTCGTTGTACTGCACGGCCCGCTCGAAGACCTTGGTCAGTGACTCCTGAGAGCCATACATGTTTTCTAGATTCAGCAGCGCCACCCACACGTTCAGCTTCTCCTGCTCCTCTCTGGAGGGAGAGTCCGCACATGAGCTCCATCACTTCCGCCCGAGGAAGCCTGCACTACCACCCAGGGATGCTGCCTGGAACTACTACTTCCTTCGCAGGCTCCAACCACACCCTCAGCTCCTGCCCTCAAGTGAACCCGTGGCCCCCGCTGTAGCTCTCACGGAAGCAGGAACGCCCGGCCCTGACTCCTGGGCTTCCCCTGGTGTCTGCCTCCATTCTGAAAAAGGAAGCCCACGAAATTTTAACCTGGCTCAAGGTTTGGCCGGAAAGGAACAGAATCTCTGGTCTGGTTCTGTCTCCAAACTAAGAGAACGAAGCAAAGGCTCGCCGACCCTCCTCTTAGCTGTCAGGAAACTCAGTC